AAGTTTTTATTGATGATATTAGTATTATAAATAAATGTTCTTTTTTTTATTTTGAAATTGGAAGCATTTGAATTTAATTGTTCAGTAAGTTGTCATATTCAAATTTATGGTGAATGCCATAGAATCATCCATTTTGTTTTTTTCAGGTACTGATATTTCCATTTTTCTCCCAATTTAATTTATTAATGAAAAAATAAGAACCATCACAATATCATGAGTTAATAAGAGATAATTAGAAATAGAAACAATAGATGTCATTGACTCTAGATGTTACTATTTTAAGTAATCTGACAATGTATCTTGTCACAGAATGATAAGGATTAATAGTATATCCACCCCTCTTTTGCTTCTCATTCTATTACAGATTAAAATCACTAGATGTGATGGCTTAATAGAGGTAAATCAACAAACAGGGCCTGGTCATTGGCTGCCGTATCAGGTGGCCACTCAAGGAATTTTTACTTGTGGCTTTCGGAAAAATCAATCTGTTCCAAAATAGACATTAATGAAGGTGTTTGCTAAATCAAGGTGGCCAGTTGAGCGAGTTTCTCTGTTTTATAAATCAGGTCATAAATAAACCAGAAGGCACACTTGCAACCACAACACATTAACATTCTCCACATTTTTCCCAACAAAAGTATCTAGTATCTCACTTAATCCACTAGTTGAAACAGAGAGGATTTCAAAAAATTAATTAATATTTAATTGATTTAATCAGTTTAATCAATATTTAACATTAATTTTAGTTGCAATCTAAATCTGGTTCTGAAAAATTGTAATTTCTTTGACAATAGCAACTTACTTATTTCCCCATTCAAACAGGAGTCACCCATTGCCGCAGCATTTTCTGCAACAACCTTTTTATCTCTGACTTGGTCAAACTGTAACATCTGATAATAGTCTTTCTTTGATTCAACAAGTTCTTGATGAGTTCCTCGTTCCGATATAACACCATCTTTCATATAAAGAACTTCATCACACTGTTCTAAAAACTAGAAAACAAAAGAAATATGTAACCCAGAACCAATTTCAAAAGCAAGTGAGAGCAAAAATTTTACATCAACATACTTGCATTCCATGTGTAACAAGAAGAACTGTTTTATTACTTAATTTGGTTTTTACACAGTAATTAAAAATATTTCTCGCAACTTTGGCATCAACAGCACTCAATGGGTCATCCAGCAAGTAGATATCCTTATCAGCATATACTGCTCGAGCCAGATTAATCCTTTGTTTCTGGCCACCACTACAAAAGTTTTTTTCATAATTTTTATTATTAATCCCAAGTTCAACAATTCTTGAATATAAACAGTTTATTAATTATAATAAGACAGTGATACAATTTGTTTTCTTGGAACAAATCACTGCAACTTTTAGATTTATATATTATTACCAAATTTAATAATTTCCCATCAAAGGAAAATATTCTTTCACTAATGCAGTGTGTGTGGAATAAAAAAATAAAATAAATTAAAATGAAGAACCCACTAGATCCTCCTTTTTGTTTTTTAACATTGATTTCATGACATGACAATAGAACTATCAATTAACACACGATCATTAGCACACCATATCTTTTTTCCACATTGACTACATCTATTTACTAAAGCAAAAGTCAAGTGAATACTGATTTTAATTAAGAGTAGAATTATTTTACAATGCCCAATACAAAATATTAACTAGAAATTATTTTTGAAACACAACTCTCATGAAAATTACTGTTTTGTCATGATCTAGATTTGCTACAAGTAAGTACCTTAAATTGGATCCTCTTTCCCCAATTTCTGTTTTATCACCATTGGCCAACAGTTCTAAATCACGCTGTAAGCTACAACATTCAATAACTTCCTGATATTTATCCTCTTGAAATGGTAGTCCAAAAAGAATATTCTCTCGAACTGAATCATTAAAAATCCAAGCTTGCTGAGAGACGATGGCAACACTCCCCATCACTTGAAGGTCACCAGATACCATCATCATCTAATGCAGAAATATCAACACGGTTCTTCAGTAACAATGTACATGTTTTAAATTTGCAGATTGTACAATGTTTAAATCGAAAACATTTAATGAACATTTTTCTCTATGTTTTCAAACATTCAACACATTTCCAATGCATTTTCTGAGAAAATACTTTGGTTATTCGATTTCTCTGCATATGGAGTGCATTCATTCAGGGGGAAATAAAACCCAAAAATTCTTTACAGACCAACACAAACAACCTAAATTCACCATATAAAGAAATTATACAAGAGAATATTTGAAAATATTAATGCTAGTATATATGAAGCACAATAGATGTTTACATACATCACCCATAATAGCAGAAAGTAGAGAGCTTTTTCCAGAACCAACACTTCCACACACTCCTATCAATTTTTCTCTAGCAACATTCAAGGTTAAATTCTGTAAAGCTATAACAGGTTGCATTTCTTCATGTGTCAAGAAAGCTCCTCTTTCATCTTTGGCACTGCCATTCGCAACATCATTTGATTTTGTTTGATATGTTTTCTTGCTGCGACCTGAACATATTACGACCAGAAAAATGTTATAGTACAATATAAATATTATAAATATAGGTTACAGCTGAATAACTTAAGTATTTGACAAATGACAAATAAAAAAAAAAACTTATACTTCATAACAATTCAAAATCTTCATCATAACTAAGGTCTTTGCCCCAAAAAGTTGTTATTAAACGCAACAACAATTTTATCTGAATCGTAAGAATGCATTCACTGTATTGGGAATATTTGGATTGTCCGTATAATCACACACATACCTTTCTTTCGAGATATTTCTTCTCGTTTTTGAGATTCCCAGGCAAAAACACCATTTTGAATGTGAATTATATCGTCGCTAACCATTTTTGAAAATGGAGATTCATAATTTGGTCGATGCAAGAATTTCTAAAACAATATTTTATATTAACTATATTTATATAGAATTACAGCAGAAATTAGCACAACAGCTAAAATCAATCAACAAGTTTCAAAGGTTTTTACAATCATTACCTGAATCTTCTTACAACTAACATTTGCTTCCGCCAGGCACTTTATTCCATAGGGCAGTGTACCAACAGTAAACTGCATAGCAGTAAATACAGCAAAAACTGTGAAAGCTTCAGTAGCATAAAGATCATGACCTGTTAAACTGAAACAACACAATTAATTACAATGACATTCTATAAAAATAAAATGAACTCTTTGCATTATTAATTCTCAAAACCTTCCTATCAGCTATGGCGTGCTTGCAACACATTGACAGTTTCTAAGTTCTGAGACACACAAGATTATATATTTTGGTTAAGAAATAATGAAAACATATTTGATTCACAACACTATCAGACTAACAAGTAATAAAACTAAAACATGATTTAATAAACTGGAATAACACAACAACAAACAAGACAAATTTTTGCATTTTTGGAACTATATGATCTCTATTAGAGTATTGAATGGTACCTTTTAATCTGACAAAAAATTCTAGAGCAGATGAGAATTTTAGTATCCTGTTTTCCTTGTAGGTGCTATATCTACTGAGCTATTGTAACTAGAAAGGGAAGGGTCCATTCAGTATATATAAATACAATGAATCAATTAATAGTCTAAAAATGTGACCAACCATTTGAAATTAAACAATTAATATGATCTGCATATCAATATTTTATGCACATTGTGAAAATGACAGTTCAGACAGAATTAAAACATAATTGGGAGTTCTGTTACATTATTTCATAACAACATTCTACACAACCCCATACTAGCATCGAATGTGTAGAGGAGCAATCCTCCTCTAACCTCACGAGTTATTGTCAATGGTAGTCAGCCTCTTATTGCTTCAGCAAGGGGTTTGACACCATTAGATCCTCAGAATCAGCGCCAAAGCTAGACAATTTTGGACCCGGGGCAATGCTAAAATTTAGCTTCCTCCCGAAAAGAATTTAAAATGTGAAAGTTGTATCAAGAAACTATACGAGTTATTTCATATCAATAACAAAAAATATGTTTAAGCTAGAAAAAGGTTTTAGAAATATATTTTAAATGCGTTTTAAGTAAAAGTATTTAGTGATCAAATAATACAATTTCCACAGTGATCTTAAAACACTAACAAGTTGTGTGTTTAGTTAGTGTTTAATAAAATCACTTGTTAAACACATAAAATAATAATATTAATTTCAGTGAAACCTATTTTAATGTTAGCATCATTTGAGTTATTTTATAGTCCTGCCTTACAAGTAATGATTATAATTAAATATTTAAGGTAAAATATTAATTGAAAATTTTATGAAATATTAGACTCCCATAGTCATAAAATTACAATAACAATCTTTTTATTAAATTTATTTTAGATTGCTGTGCAAGAGTATAACGATTTTCTTGAGTTCTAATTTCTCTTTCAAATTTTTCCCGGCTCAGTTCCATCATTAGGCCCCTTCACTTGCGGGGCCACCAGCGATTGCCCGGTCTGCCCAAACCTAGTGCCTGCGCTGGCCAGAGTTTCCAGATTGTCTCACATCCAGGAAACCGCAATGTCTCAAATTGCTTAACTTCATGAAGCATGGTTAAGCAATTAAGCTAGAGACACCAAAATGGAAGTCTCATTTTTCAATGACAAGCCCCACTCAATGTACTAAGGGCTAATAGCAAAACAAAACAAAAAATTCACAACTAATGTGTACCTGTAGCAAAGGAAAGTCGTAATTGATGCCAGGACAGTAATGGCTGGTGTTACAGTATTACTAAAGGACTGAAGAAATGCAGCTTTCTGAAGTTGTTTCCGCTCCAGATTTCGAACATCTGAAATAAATTTCATAGTATGAAATATATTTTCCCAATAAAAATTAACTTGGGGATGAATTATGAACTGGATAACTCAATAGTGTACATAATGATTCTCACCTGCAATTTTTTCAGCAAAACTGTCTTCCCAAGCGTACATTTTGATAAGCCGAATGCTATTCAAAATTTCACTCATGAGACTTACACGCTGATCTGTGACTTGCACAGTACCAATACGAACCAAGCTAGTGACACGAGCTATTCCTCCCTAAACAACAAAATCTACATTCACATTCATAGGAATACTGACAAAAATAAAAACAACAGAAAAACAGTTAAAATATAAAATAAATATAAAATTCACCAACTACTACAAATTTTCTAATTAATGTTGTTAATTATAGGAGAAAATTCCCTACACATCATATTCACTGGTTGAAGTAGAGAATACGGTACAACTTAAGGAAAACATTTAAACCATCACAGTTCGCACTGCTCAAATGATAAGAGGAGACAAGATCTATAATTACTATCCAATAGATTAAGGAAGCTAATTCCCCTAAAAGTATTTTAGCCTAAAATGCACTGGTAATTACACATTGCTAAGATTCAAAACTTTTTTTTTTTTTTTCCTCCCCGCCAGGGTCAAAAGCCTTAGCCTCATACTGAACTTGGAAATGTGTCAATTTGGATGCAAAAGTAATTTGACATAAAAATGGAAGAGAACTTGCATGTGTGAAGCAACTAAAATATATGGCATTTGTAGAAATCACCTCTCCCTCTCAATCACTCTCTATTATACTGCGATTTTTCCAACTCTACCCCAGGCAGGAATCAGGGGCAGTCACAACAGGAATCAGGGAAGTTCAAGCTCCTGATTGGATGAAACTCAACAGCAGATACCTGCCAGGGGCAGAATTGGAAAAATAATATAGTGTACTGGGCTACATTAACCAAGTGGTTTTGTAGCTCATAGTTTCATTATTTGATACAATGTTACTCTTTTGAAACTCTCTTAATTAACAAAATAATTGGCATATTGTTAGTTTCCATGGGTTGCCTCCACCTCCTCGAACACAGAGGCATATCCACAGTATGGCAGATCTGACACATGCCATGGGCGTCACTCACAAGTGGTGCTATTTAGAGTTAAAACAAATAACAACCCGAATTTGAAACAACCTGACAGGTGCATAAATTCTTTGCTTGTCATGAATGCATGAATACCTAGATATGCCTCTGCTCTTACAAACATGTACACACAATAGTAACATATTGTGCTTACCATTATAGGATAAAACAGCAAAATAACAACATTTCCTACCAGTGCCCATGGACCAAGGACAAGAAGAGAATATGTTACGCTCATTATGAACATCACTGGTGTTCCTGCAAAAGTAAAAATGTATGTGTTAAATCTAGTTTTAGTTTTGTACAATGAGATAATAAACAAGGAAATGGAATAAAAATTAATCACTATTGTTCAATACAAATAGTACAATAAACATTGACAACATTGAAATTTTTCCATTTCATCACAAAGAAATGTATCATCATCTGCCTTGTTTAAATACAATCTGTTCACAATTAACAATTCAGAATAATGATTCCTCCATTTTTCAGACCTGCAGACATCATTATTAAACTTCTAAACACAACAACAGAATAACAATATGGTTTTAGAAAAGGGAGGGAAGCAATTGAAGCAATTTTTACCATAGACAAAATTATCAAAGAAGTTGTAAACAAAATTTACCAATAAATCTACTATTCTTGGATTATGTGATAGAGTGAACACAAAAGGTCTCTGGCAAATTCTCTAGGAGAGAATACAGATAACCATTCATTACAAACAACAAAAGGCTAATACAAGAACTCAAAAATTAAGATTCAAAGTATGAATGGGGACAACACAAGCAATCCTAATAAACAAAACTTTCTAAAGCTATTATTGTCCTTGCTGTTTAATATTTATCTACACCACATGATGAAAAGAAGGTAAAGAGAAGCAGGACATGGATAATTCTGAAACATAAAAGAATAATTAAGATGATACTGTGTGGAGATGATCACGCATTTCTGGCAATAATAGAAGATTACATCCAAAAACAGCTTATAAATTTTAATGTCGCAAAAGAATGTAATGAGAATATCACCAACGAAGACCAAGCACCAGGGACCACTACGCAAAGAGCACCAGGGACTGCAAATAATAATAGTCAGTAAAATTATAGAACTGGTATCAAATTTCACATATTTGGGAATTAGATTGGCGTTAGATATTAAGATTTTGAAAAGAATTTACTACAAACAACAAAATAAATGGCTGTATCAATAGACATTTCAAAATTATGATTTCTGAAACAAAAAGTAGACTACACAATACAGTATCTAAACAAACAATACTACATAGAAGCGAAACAAGGGGCAGAAGAAGAGAACGAAGACTAGAAGCTGCATAAATGGAGCATTTGAGATCAATTTTAAATATCGATAAAAGAGACTTTGGTGCAAGGAAGAGAAAGAAATCAAAAGAATATTAACAAGGAAGTAGAAGATTAACAAAGAAAATGGCAGAATGCATCAAGAGAATAAACGCAAAAAGATATATGAAACAGATCCTCTTGTAAATCAAAAGGTTGGAAGAACGCGGAAGACAGAAAGCATGATGGCAAGACCAGGAACACCTTAGTGACCAATGGAATACTGGATTTGAAAGTAACAGGTCACGCTGAATCCTACTATGAATTCAACAAACTCTAAAACAGGCTCTATCCTAGTCGTTATAACATGTCAACAACTCTGAATCAGTAAACTGGTACACTTCACAAAGTAGACCTTGCAATTCTGTGAAAGAGTTAAAGCTGAAACCTTTATTGTTGATGACCACGAGGGTTATCGCCTATTTCTATTTTTTATTTTTGAATATACAATATATTGTCTGTTTTATTTGTTAAAATAAATACACTATGAACTGTAAGGTATAATAAAAGTTAAAATCCAAAAATTATCATACTCAAGATAAAAATAACTAACCGAACATAAGAACTCCCATATGGCAAGCTTCAAAGAGGCGTTCTTGTTCATTAGTGCAAAACGTCAAAATCTGTCCTAGGACTCGTTCTCCTCCGCTTCGTAACATTAACATCTTTTTATATACCAAAAATTGCATAGCACCTTGCACACGAATAGCTAAAACAAAGAATTACGGTAAACCAACTCTTCTGCTTAATAAAGATTATTATTAATCAATTGTTAATTAATTCTTCATCAATACATACCAGTGTGTAAACCCATTACATATCCAGCACCAAAGCAATAATTACGCAACAACTGGCATACAAAAAGTATAGCCACAAGCATTAATCCCCACCACAAGGGAAATTCTTCCTGTTTATCACTGACATACTCTAGAATAAATTTCTGAATCACAGCCTGTAATCAAAGGAATAATAAATAAAATTCAAAAAAACACTGTGCATTAAATTAAATATTATCAACATTACGTTACTCACTGGACCCATGAACTGAAAAATTACAGCAAGCACCATAAAGGTCATGGCCACAATGCAACGAGTTCGGCAAAACCTCCATACCACACTTGATAATGATGATTTTTCTCCATATGTTCTGACATGATCATTCCATAATTTTTCTAAACGATGTGCATTTGGTTCAGCACGATCAGACATCTAAATGAAAATAAATTGTAATTAATATTTAATCACATATTTTTCACTAGAACTGTAGGAGAATGACAGCTCACCTGCAACTCATACAAATCATCTACAGTCAACCCATGTCTAAATGCTTTCCACATAACCCTGGACATCCATGTAATTGCAACATAACTGAAGAGACCAGCTGAATTACTAGGCATTGCTCGGCTATCACTAAGAAATAACATAAAAGCAGTAAATAGAAAAATAATTGAATCACTTGCAAAAATAACAGAAAATTATTTATGAACACATACAAACAATAAATCATCAAAATCATTTCTTCTACTTTTACTTACAAAGGTGGTGATCGATAAGGTAGAAAATGCTTGAGAGCAGGGGCATATTTATTTTTCCTTTTGGTGCACCTAAAATGTAAACATATTTCAATCAAACCACACCGATTTCATAAAATACCCCACTTTAATATGAACTCATGCATTACCTTTCTGTATTTCCATCTTTCTCTTCATTCGCTTCAACATTCAAGTATATAGAACCAGTTGACAGCCACTTATGCATTGACATCGCGTAAAGGATTCACTGTCGTTGCCCCCTGCCAATTCGAATCTAATTGCAGAAATGCGACTGGCGAGAGATTCGATACTACCGAAAGTAGATTATGTAATCTTTGTAGTACGTTTCGCACCTTTGCATTTGCAAAGCCAACATGCAAGTCATTCTTTGGTCAAACTCATCGTAACTAATGAACCGGCTGTGATTCAGTCTTTGACATTTCTTCTCAGCCTTGACATCGCAGCTACTTTTTGTGCTGCAACCTTAACCTTCTTTACTTCTTTATGTAATTGGCCCCAAGACATCATACTCTATCACGTATATCGAAAATATCGAACCTTCCGACTCTACTTCTCTATCAGTTGTATCTAATCAGCCAATAAAGTTTACAAGCGGGAAAACACAAGTATGACATTTGCATAATTGCACAACTTGCGCTCATATCATTTATTCGTAGCAAGCAAATATACTATGTCAGAGGATCGCGAAAACTGCTTTGCTACGAATTGCTTGGATATTAAAGAACCGAAGAATGAATACAAGAAAGTAATGCAAAAACGTTTGAACCACTTTTTAGTAAATTTCGAAAATGTCGGAGATTCATGAACCCTCAAGAAATTAAAAGATACGTTTAAAGTTCGAAGGTACATCACCTCACCAAATCTATCCAGGAATATCATTTCTGGTGTACAATTTAGGTCATGGACGAATAACCGGTGTGTGTGTGTGTATGTGTGTGTGTGTGGGGGGGGGGAATTTCGTTATCAAGGAAACAAAACGTAGATTACGCCTACACTAAATTTTCGAGGAAGACACTACGTAGAGAAGCAAGAAAAATCAACTTTTTTTTCGTACCCGAGACCTACAATTTTTTCTCATAACTATTTCGAATCTCGAGACCACAAGTGCATATATAAGTCCTGAAACATACGTGCGCAGCTCAAAAGAAAGGAGCAACCTCAATTCTAATTGCCTTTTCCACTTAACTTTATTACTTGTGCATGGTTCCTTATTTTATTAGGATATTGAGCATACAAGGAGAATGAAAGTATAACTCATTTTACAATTAATAATTATTTTATGCTGAGCAATTTATGGGGGTACCAGATGGCTTGCCTGTGTTCCTGAATGTTGCATTATACAGTGGTACTTGTGGGGCAGGTGCAAACAAGTAAATTTTCAGACTATTTTAATCTTCAAATTATAAAAAAAGTGGGTTGGAACTTCAAGTGTTGGGTTGCTTTCCCCATGACAATATTATATAATTCAAAAAGTTTTAACAGAACTTGTTTTTTATGCTACCACAACCCCTTTGTTATCCCCAACAAAAATATTTTTTACTCTGACTAAAATTTCAGGGGCGTCACCCTCCCCCCCATTTACATGCCCATGACACCATTTGAACCTTATTGACAACTGGGAAGTCAATGAAGCAGCTTTCCAGCTCTTTCAAAGGATCTTAGAGAAATGTACATAGATAGCAACACTCATATTTATTACATCAGTCATGAATTTGGAGAAAGGATTGTGCAGGGCGAAAGGAATAAAAGAAAACATTTTCAAAATTGATGCAAGAATGTTTAGAATCTTTATTTTCATTACATTTTATCAATACCAAAGTAACATTTATTCGCAAGGTCCTTTAAAAAGACCTTATAAAGCAAGTAAATAAACAAAATTTTGTTACAAAAAATATTTTGTTTCATAGGTGTTAGTCATTAAAGAGATTTCATAAACAAAAATATATAACTCTCAGCACCACATGAAACAAATTCAAAACTTTGGGTAGCACTGGGCAAGACCTCAAAACCATACTTCAAAATGCTATGTCAGTCAATATAACCAGTCTTTGTACCAGATTCATACAAATCATTTCTATTAACTTACTGAAACTTCCACAGGCAAATAACCAGTCTGTTGGATTCCCTGAGCTGATGGCAACTCCAACCATGTTCTCGCCCATAATAGCCACTCAAACAATCTATTAGAGAAATTGCCTTCTATGTTTTCTTCAGAAACTAATAATTTGTTCAGAAAACTCACAATATTCGTTTCTTTGCCTATAGTGTCTTCACAGCTCTGATTACATTTTGAATAATGGGAAAGAGCACTATTCCAATCCAGATTCAAATGCCAAGGATTTGTATAGTCTCTAAATTTACTACTATTATGAGCATTGTCTTTTTCATTGATTTTCTTCAATTCTTCTAGTGAAGCATATCTACCAGCACAGGATGACAAAGAAGATACAATAGAATTGGTTTCAGCCTCATCCAGAACTGATGAAACGGGCAAAGACTGGGTTTCTTCTGCCAAAGGCTGGACAGGGGTAAGGCGATTGTTCGAAATGGAAGAAATGCTGGAACTAATGGAACTGCCTGGAATCTGACTGACTATGAATGCTGAACCGATAAGAGTAAGCACACTCGCAGTATAACTGGTTAAACATACAGCAGACACCTGAAACAAAATTTCAAAAAACATTTGCCATACAATCACTTGCATAGTAGCATCACAAGAATAAAAACTCAAACCATGTAAGTAATTTCAATAAATAAAAAAAATTTGATGCAAATATTGACACTTGAGATTTCAAGTTTCACTGGCATTTAGAAACTGCTTCCTCAGGAACCAATATTTTCATCCAAATAACTCATGCCTAAATACAGTTAATAAGTTCAATTTGACAATATTTATTTTGAACTAAGCAATTTTGATTCTTAATATATTTGAACATTTACATTCCTACAAAAAATTTATATGCTAAAAAGCATGTCTCCACTTTCTCTTCAGAAATCTTGAAAGTCTAAAATCGACAGCATGTTTATTTAATGGATAATTGAATTAATTTTGGCACATTAATTTCATAAAACACACTACAAAAACTTACAGAAATCACAGTTTGTGCTACAGTTGTCAAGTCTAGCATTTCCAATATATGGTCCAAATCAGAATATGAAAACCAGCCTCTTCTTTTTCCTTCTCGTAATGCTACATCTTTTTCAAGTTCTTGTAGTCTGTTCCAAAAAGCTTGTTCACTTACAAAAACTTCCCATCCCTGTTGACAAAAAAAGGCAAGTTTCGAATGAATTACCACAAAAGGGTTAGTTTAATGCATAAAACTAATGAAAATATATAATGAAATTACTCTCCAATAACAAACAAAAAGTTTCCTTTTAATACTTTTGAGAAACTTCAAGTGTGCACTTACAAAGAATTGAATTTTTAATCAAAGGAATGGAAATATCAAAGGAGATATGAAAAAGAAGCAGGTGGAAACAACAATAGGATAAGGGCCCTGCTATACAGCTGAAATCCTGATGATTGACAACTTCCACCAATTTAAATAATGGTCATTAAGAGGAATATGTCCTTAAAAATATTTTAGAAAATTGATATCTCAAATTGTTTGTGTTGGAGCATTGTGCAAGGTAGGAAAGTAGGAGTGGAGTCTGAATTTAAGTTCGTCTGATTCATGCCACTGAGGCAGGAAATCTAAGATGGAGTCAAAAGCTAGTTAGGTTTTTTTCAGGAATAGTTCCAATGTTTGGGGTAGTGTTGAATCTGCCATGTATTACTTTGCTCATTGCATAGCATTACAAACTATGTATTCAAAGTTCTTTCATATTCAGTCAGCATTCATGTTGCTCGTAGTGTTAATATCTCAAATGTTCATTCTCACCCGAGATACAGCAAAACATTCTGGGAAACGCATCATATAGCTCTCAAACTTTTATATTAAACAATGAGAAATTTGCAAAATAAGTAAATCCCATCCACATGTTTCTCGTAAGCTTCTCTTTATTAAGCTTGGGAATGGCCATGTCTAGCTATTTTATGAAGCTCTCGCCACGGCAACCATTGCTATCTCTTGATTTGCAAAACCACATTCTTTATAAATAATGACTTGCTCAAGGCAGGACCGTCTGTATTTCCAAGCAATACAGATGTCAACAACTATGTGTGTAACACAATGTAGTAATCATATTCATCAGTACCCACAACTCTGAACAAAAAATTCACATACAATACATACCCATTGTTTCAGTCACTGCCAGATGACTTTATACATTTAAAATCAATATACAAGTTTAAGTGCCAAATCTTTTTTGGTGCATAACTGGTTCTATACAATTAGAAACTATATGAAGCATCAAAAAGGAAAATGATATTTGTTTTAACAGTGATATCTAATGTATAAGTTACCATTTAATTATACAATTATAAAAAACTAAATATGCCTGTAACAAGTATTGTACTACAGCATCTGGGTCAATGACCCCATCTCAAACAGGTTTTTTGTCCACTTTCCCTCACCCTTAGAGCAAAGGTTGAGATGGTCTCTTGGTTCGCTTCTGGGCATAATGCAGCTTCACTACTTGTGTACATTTTCTTGATTTCATTTGAGAATGCTGACATTCAAATAATCGTTTTCCATTTTATAACAGTAAGTAGATTTTTTCACGTAAAACACTAGGGATAATAGCCTAAATTTGTTGCTGATTTGCCTTTGCAAATGTTTTATTATACAGGAGCAAATATTTTTAAATTTTTTTTTCAATTCTTGGCAAAAATGCACATTTCTACATGTATTCATAATTGAACTTAATATTGAGTAAGAATAGATATCCCAGAGCATGAAAAACCATGAACATATTGCACTTCTCCCCTTAGTACATCACAGTTTTTAACTGTTTTTACTATTAATAAATAAATGGAAATTTTAAATTTTAGTGAAATGGAATGAAATTGAAAAATGTATGTAATTGCACTTTTAAAATTATAAAACCAGCACTTCCAGGAATTAATAAAAGTTATCTGGATTTACCACACAACAGATTAACGAGGATAGAATTCGTGCTAAAAATATCACAAACTGCATTGGTAATTATGCATCGACACAGAATCAAGGACGTTTTATCAGTGCCGAAGGCCCATTGTCCTCAACTTGGAAATTTGTAGCAACACATCAACTTAGCCATAAAAGTAATTTGGCATAAAATGCATGTGAAATTGAGTTTGTGAAGCAGATATAATATAGTGTTTTGTAGGTATTCCACATGTGTAATGAGGAACCACAAGCTGCTTCCATGCAAGTTCAGGACTCCACACTTTCCATCCCTCCCCCCTACTTCACATCAATATGACCTAAGAAGGATGTTCCTGATTACCTATTTTAACCAAAAATTCTCGGCTATCTAGGAGACACCGTATCGTTGGCTGGGGTGCTGAAGTTTCGCCTGACATGTCGCAGGCTTCCTCAGGGCAGTGACACACAGTATATATTTTAACCAAAATTTAAATAGGAAAAAAATTTGCCAACCCAAATTCATAAAAATTTATTTTTCAATTTAAGTCCTGAATAAGATTTTGAGTATGACTAAGGCTGTTTTGTCTCACACTGAAGCAGCATACAATTCTGAATATTACAACATGTAAAGTTCAACATGCATTGAAAAAGAAAAAAAGAAATGGAAAAAACAAACTGCAAGGCATGTTCTGGAAGCTGGAAACACAACAGAATGATATCAGGTAAGACTGTTTGTAAAAGTAAAATCAGAGAATGCAAGATTGAAGCCCTAAGCGTTCAATCAAAATAAGAACGCATGGCATTACACCAACTTCCCATAATCTTCTGAGACTCTTCCAAGATTTCATGTATAGATACACCTCAATTTTAGATAATACCCTTTAATATAACTCACATTATCTACCTTACTGTGAAATATGCTACATTTGTTATTAACAAATTTTAATACCTACTATTGCTTGCAAGAAGTCTTTTTCAAAACGATTCACTTCCTTAACATCTAGTCCAGCTGAAGTAGCCCATTCATCATTGAAAACTTCATCTTCTTCTCCATCATCATGAAGGAATTTGCTAGCAATCATCTACAATTAAAATATGCAGTAGTAAGCATACATCACACAAAAACAAAGATAATTACTACACAAACAAAATAATAATTACCATTGACACCAAGAATAATTCAGATGGTGCCACTCTCTGTAGATATTCTGTATTGCAGGTCTTCAATCTTTCTAAATATAACAATGCTAGAACAAGGGAGCACGGAGAAACACATGCATTTCGGGATAAATCTGCAGCTTCTTCAATATCTAATCGATCCAAGCTTTTTCCGTTTTTGATTTTTGAAAAAATTTCGGCAGCAATTTCTAAAACAAAACAAACGTTTGTCAGCATTCGAGTTCAGAAAGAAATCATCAAGAGCCTTTAAAAAAACTTTGTTTACCAGATACAGGAAGGCTAAATCGCTCAGTGTCTGGCAATTTTCCATAATACAACGACTTCTTGATTCTTGACAAGAATGCCTTGTGGTCTCCCATGGCCTGAAAGAAAGAAAAAAAAAGTATGAAGCAAAACTCCCACACAGATTCTCTCCATAACCTCCTTTAACCGCATCACACGATGTGAAGCCATTTGCAATTTACAAATGTTTAATACGGTACCTTAAGTTTACGCCTGGACACGTCTTTCCTTGCTCTAGATATTGCAGAATGATGCATTTTCCGATAAGGTGAGTGGAATGAATAAATTCACTGGAAATTACAAAACTTCGATTTCGTTAACAGGTTGTCCTGAATAACTTGACAAAAACAATACGCCGCGACAATACTACCACGACTCGCACAAGATCACACAAGCTTTCGCCGCCTACACGCGGGACTTCTATACTCCTACACGCAACCCAAGCTCCAGCTCTCAACACCACTCAACCTCAACACCAAACGCAACAATTCGCAATCGTGCCAAGCATCCGTTAAAGATGATTCATAAGCAGAACGGGCGGGGATTCAGGTTCAGATTCCTCCCTGAGGCATTAGGTGCGCGCGAATCTTGGTCAAGTCAAAGAGAAAAAATCAAATCTTTGGACTTATCTCTGTAACAAAGAGTATGAAACTGCACCGTGCATATGCCCCTAGCTGCGTTATGAGAAACTACATTCCACAAGCGCGATGTTTGAATGGACTCTTCGTACCGATACCTCACGGTTAAAAAAATTTAATTTGATTCTATTGATACGGATTTTAAATTTGTACATAATTTCAGTTAAGACCAATTCATATCAGATTGGCGTGAAACGCGAATTCTACTACCACGAACTTCTTTTATAACAATTCGGTTCAGATTTAACAAATTTCGAATCGCACTTCCCCGATTGGAAATTATAAAACCCCGCAGTATTTAATACCCTTGGTGGCCATTTGAAGCTGGGTGGCGCCTTTCTATTCTTGGTTTCCTTCGCCGCGAGGCGTCGCGTTGTCGGCTCGGTAGTGCGGCGGCGCGTCGCGGCTCGTCGCGGCGGCAGCCCCTGGCGCTCACCTCAAGCGCGCGCGCGGGCGGGCGGGCGGCGAGCTCAGTAGCAGGCCAGCCGCGGGCCGGGCCACTTGGACGAAATGGGGGCCCTGCCAACGCCGAAGCTCCTGGCTGCTGTGCTCCTCGCAGGTATCGCACGATCATGGGAGTATTAATTCTGCTCGTGAACTTAATTATTCTCAGTAATCACCCCCTCCCCGTCCTGTATTCGCGAGAAAGAATATCACTACGGTATCTCTTAGGTTTTACTACAAAACATTAATCACACAAAAAGCATTAAAGTGCACTTGAACTTGTATTGCTCTGTTTGATGATAATTTCATTTACCTTAGCGGTGTATTGTTTTGAAAGATATAGTAAATGCATCATATATTAATCTGTCAAGATATTTTACCTGTCTCATACAGTAATTAATTTACAAATGAGTACGTATTTCAAATTAATATTTCATTTGAAAATATTCTACAAAAGTACTACACTGTAGTTAAATTTAAATACGTAAATTTACAAGACAACCAAAATATTGCTAATTTAAGTTACCTAGGAAAGTTCGTTATTTATTTACGAAAATTAAATTGAAACATTTCATTTACTCTCCCAAGATATCCAGTTATCTTTTAGTGATTTTGATAATGATTCGAAGTTTATGATTTTCTTCCTGCATGAAATGCATCTCCATTTCATTCAACCAAAAAATTAAATTGAGGAGTATTCAATGCATTATTGAAGCTTCTCGAAATGTGGATAATGCATTGTAATGATCGTTCGACATTTTACTTCATGACGTTACTGAGGTCAAAAAGATCGTAACGGGACTCACATTCACTGTTATAATTACTTGTACGGATTATCACTAGACATTCATCGTCTAAATTAGCCGCAAAGAAACTGTTGCGAAAATTCATTCTTATCAAACTGACGCAGTTCAAAGTGTAGATACAGACGCAAGTATTTCTGGATGAGCGGCTTTCGATGAGAAAATAAATAACAAGCCAGGTTAATTAGCTTACAATAGACATCGTGAAGTCGTTGATGGACGTTTTGAGTTGAACGCCGTTGAGGGTTTAACGAATCATCCGAGTTACGGACATGGACAATTTCGCGAAGAAACTGAGCTATTTCGTTCCCAAAATAAATTAATTTAGAACAATTAAATTCTCGCCGTAGATGGCAATCGTAAAACATTTATTTCCACTGGAGTAAACTCGTTACAGCAATTTGAAGCCAACAACGCTTTAAGGTATCTACTCTTTGAAAAAATATATTGTTCCACGAAATTTGAGGACAAGAAATATAATATAAGTTAAAAATGTCAGTAATCATGATTCGCAATATTTCATTATTCGAAAGTCAATTAAACTTGATTTTGTTTCGAGGTGATCTTTTGATTAGAGGAGATTTGCTTTGCCATTAATATTTTTTGTAATCGAAACGTTTATATATTCGACATTTAATTTGCTGAGCAGTCTCGAATAATAATAATTTTCAAACATTTTAGGGGAAAATTCTTCGCATTTAGAATCGAACGCATATAACTGGCGTATTTCACCGAAAGCATTAAATGCCTGTAAAACAGCTCATGTTATATATTCCGAGTCCCAAGTTACCTGTGCAACAATTCAATCATGCTGACACCTTTATATTCTGCCATCTGTACTGACTGAATTCTTCTAGTGGTTGCTACACGTCATGTCTTCGTCGTACTCCACTTTAGGATGTGACCACGAACCTCGTTGCCTCACAACAATAATTTCCTCAAATCACACGTTTCAGCTTAAACGGACTCGTAGTCGCCTACCGCAGTTCTATTAAAATGACATGCGTCGCAAATTGACCAACGCACGCTGCTATTATCCAACGTAAACTTGCCTCACTTTAGCAAGCAGTCTTTTTGTAATTATGTAGATTGGGCCTACATGAGTAACTGCCTAGTGGGGTATTTTTTCTTTATCGCCTTATTATTAATCCAATTAAAATAAATTCTAATCTACATTATAAAACCAAGGTCTGCGAAAATATTTTCTAAAAGTATAATCACCCAATGAACGAGCTTGTCAATGGAAAAGCAGACTACTTAATTTGCAAACAAACGAATGAGTATGACCCAAATTTCTACAAAATATGAAATAATTAAGAAAACGTATTTATTACTATCAATTCAATAAATAAATTCGAGAAATTGAAAGATGAATAGATTTGATTAGTTAATCGGTGACCAGCTACGAAACGTTGTTACGAAACATTCGGAATCATCCGAAATAACGTTTGAAAGGGGGCCCAAATCGCACATTGACAGGCGGAGTCCTTCCTTCATTGCCAAAAGTTTCCATCGTTCGAGTAAACAAGGTTTGTGCATGCGCGGATCGCCTAGTGCTGGTGTAGAAAAAGGCGAGTGGATGCCAGCACCTTTAATTCATTCACACCTTTTTTGCTATTTTCGTCCACCGGTCATTTGGCAGCTCAACTTCATTAACCCGACTCGTACCATCGATGAATCTAACGGCAAACATGGTAGGCGCCTTTATTTGCCAAAGGGAGAATCCGAAAATAGAAACTACAAGTCTGAATTATTTTTAACATCAACGTCACTGGAAAAAGAAATTTCGTTGAAAGCGAATCGGTTCAATCCTATCTAAACAGTATTTTTTTACCAATAGTTGCCAATTATTTCGCATTAATTATCCTTGTTCTGTAATTTCTACTAGAAATAAAATTTAAAATTACTGCGAACATTTGAGACATTTCCAATTAAATTATGAGTAAATTACAAATGTTCATCAGTATCATGTAGCATCATCGGATGAATATTTTTAAACATTGTAAATAATATTAACGCAGTTAACGCCTTTAAATGTTATTCATGACTGTGCAGAAAATATATTCCATGAATAATTAATTTCTGAATAGTATAGCATGTCAAACACGCGCGCGAGTGACTGCAAAGTACGCATATGATGACTACATTTCATTTCATGATATTTTATTAATTATAATAGGCCTACAGGTAAAATCAGTTCTACGAATCTGCAGAAGTATCCACAGAAATGAAACAGCTCTCGACACTACATCAACGAGGGCCTCTCATTTCCAACAAAATATCCTCTTCATACATTTTATACTTACTTTATTAAAGTATTTTTTTATTGTTCAGGCTGTCGTTTACTTAGTATAACAGAAATATAATTCATTTTTGACCAACTTTTTAATAGCGATCATTTTTAAGGTCCCCTATCAGATCGGGGCTTGAACTGTCCCCCTCGCTAGACGACGCCATTTGACCGAAATTACCCGAAGCGCAGTCAGACAACGTAGAATCTGGACGAGTGCACTTCGCGATCGTAGTAAGTGGAGAACAGGCGCTTGTAAGAGAATGACGTGAATACATTGCAGCCTTCAAACTATTACATCAACTGCTAGAACGCTCGTATCGCAGAGTAGATAGCCAAAGCTGTGATCATTTGGATGCAATTTCTGTCGATGATTGACTACTTTATATTACGAAGTATTAAGATAGACAATCAGTGACGGCACAACCCTTACACCTCAAATATTCGTAGGAATTCCGCTACTATGAATATTCCCCAATCGATCTCTAATTCAGACCCCTGAGATATTTTCAAAATTTTCTTAAAAATATCTCAATTTTTTTAAAATTCTTATGAGAATAGAGTGAAATACTTATATAAAGATGGCATAGGTCCGATTTTCTCCGTTAGCCTTCAATTTTCAAAAATTGCAAAATTTTGAATTTTTTTGGACCATCTTCAATTATGTCATTATATTATTAAAGACAGAGATTTTTCTTGAAGTTATATTGTTCTCCTCAATTATAATTTTAATTAATTCCGTGTACATTTTTTTAATAAATATTAGTGGTTTCCACACAATTTTGAGTAAAATATGGGCAAAAGTAAAAACAAGATTTTCTTAAAAAAGCACCATTTTTTTTCTTTAAACTTGTTGTATGTATAGTGCTAAATGCACGGATTAATATAACGTCATTTTGATTTATTCTTTTGATCTTTTCAAAATTACTCATATTTATTTTTTAAATATATCTGACGTTAATATTTATATCACGGACGGTTTTTATAGATTATTACATTTATGGATAGAACAAGATTATTACATTTTTGAAAATATTTTAATTTTTTGGAGTTCTTCACATGAAGCCTTATTATTTTCTAAATTTTCTCAAAACTAGCTCCAAATTTTTTAAATTAATTTTCTTCCTTGGATAGAGCAAATATTCTTCTAAAGTGACACTCTTCACATTTTCGCTGAACTTTCTGAATATTGGAAAATGTTCAGTTGTTTCGGTTTCTTCCTACAACTTAATACTATTCAACAATATTGAAGAGTTTTTATGTGTGACGCGATATAGAGATTGTTTCCCTCATGAAATCCGTTCATGAATGACAGATCTTTAAATAAGGACAGGAACAATTATTCAAAAATATGATAAGTTTTCAAATTATTTAGCGTGAAATTTTGGCAATTTTTCTCAAAAACAACTCCAAATTTTCTCTTTGTTTCCAACAGAGCATATACGACTACATAAATGGCATAGAACCTATTTTCGGTGAACTCAGTGTTTTCGAAAATTTCAAAACTAAAATATTAATGACAAGAGATTTTTTACTTAATAAACTCTATTCTTTAAAATTAGACGCTTTTTTACGTTTTTCTTTACTTTTTTATAATTGTAGTTAGGTAAAAGTATTAGTACTCTTCGCATTTGCTAATTCGAATTTCCCTCTCTTCTTTCGCTGTCTTTTGGAAGCTATCAGTTCGCAAATCAATGGCAACGCCACGACGTGGCACTTCTGTGTGAAATTTTCAAACTTTCTGCTCATTGTTGGGCGATCTTTTAGACAGTTTAGGATTGGCGAATTTGTGCTGATGTATTAACATTAAATGAATAAGGTTTTAGTTATTTAATTTTAAAAGTAGTTTTAATTATTAGTAGTTGTTACCATAATTGGTACCATGTACTATTAATATTATTATTATTATTGTTATTATTATTATCATTATTATAAGTAGTAGCAGTAAAATGACAATAGCAAGTAAATTTTACTTCTACCTTACACATAAAACTGTAAAACTCTTGATGTTAAATTATTTCA